CCGGGGGAGCAGTCGGGTCGGGTGCGGCCAGGCCCGGAGCAGCGGCTGCCAGGCTGGGAGCGGCCAGGCCCGGGGGAGCAGGCGGGTCGGGTGCGGCCAGGCCCGGAGCAGCGGCTGCCAGGCTGGGAGCGGCCAGGCCCGGGGGAGCAGTCGGGTCGGGTGCGGCCAGGCCCGGAGCAGCGGCTGCCAGGCTGGGAGCGGCCAGGCCCGGGGGAGCAGGCGGGGCTGGTGTGGCCAGGCCCGGAGCAGCGGCTGCCAGGCTGGGAGCGGCCAGGCCCGGGGGAGCAGTCGGGTCGGGTGCGGCCAGGCCCGGAGCAGCAGCTGCCAGGCTGGGAGCAGCCAGGCCCGCAGCAGCAGCAGCCAAGTCCAGAGCAACTAGGTCGGGAGCGGCAGTGACCAGACCCGGAGCAGCTGGTTGTGGAACGAACCAGAGCAACAGAGGCCAGGCCCTGAGCAGGCAGGCCCGGAACAGCTCGCTCCTTGCCTGCCCCTGCCCCACGGCTGCTTCTCAGACATGGCTGGAAACTTTCGTGGGAACTTGAGGGTCTGCTGAATCAAGTGATGAAGGCTTAGATCTGGATGTGTTGAGTTAGTTTAGGACTGGGGTGTTGATCTGTGAGTGCCTTGGGTGGGGCCTGGATGAGGCTGGTTGACCTAGTGGGAAATGTCTTTTGTGTGAAGTGTATCATTGGGCATGTGGAGGTATTATTGATATGAGAAAATGCTAAATAACTGATTTACTATCTGAAAAGGGATTTACTATTGGGGAAAGGGAAGGAAGAAGAGACTGAACATAAACTGCACCTATGGATGAGGACAATGGGGGATTGGGGGGGGAACGGAGGGTGGGGTGGGAACCTGGTGGAGGGGGGAAGAAATGAGGAACCTTTGTAATAATATGAACAATAAAGATTGATTTAAAAAATAAAAAAAATAAAAAAAAAATAAAAAATAAAAATCTTCTTAAAAGAAAAAACATAACATGTGTGGGACCGAGTTTAACCAGACTTAGTGTGGTCGTTTCACAACATAGTAAATACTGGACAGAGCGTCGCCTGCGGACGGAAGGGTCCCGGGTTGCATTAAGGCCGGGGCCTGTGCCTTGGAGGCGGGCACATCCCCAGTGGGGAGGGGGTGCAGGAGGCAGCTGGTCCATGATTCTCTCAGGGCGTTCCTCTGTCCCTCTCCCTGCCTCTGTGAGAAATTAATAAAACATATTTTTAAATACCAATCATTGCCTACACCTAAAGCTAATAAATGTCCTAAGCCAAGTGTATCTCGGGTTCTAAAAGGGAAGACTAGATGGGAAGGCTTTCAGGATGGAGGAAAGAGCCGGACCCGCTCCTTCACCTGGAGTCTCAGCGCCGAGCCCCCGAGACCCCGGCCCGGAAGAAGCGGGCTCCACCGCTCCGCCCGTCGGCCGCGCGCTCCGCCCCGGGACTTCCAGATCTCGCGAGAACGTTTGGCTTCCCCTGTATGCGCATGGGGAAGCCTAGTGGGCGGAAGCCGTCAGAAGAGGGGGCGGAGCTGGGGCGGGGCTTACGCCCTCTCCCCCTGCCAGCCCCGCCCCTCGCGGCGCGTCCCGGAATGACGTCATCCGCTGTATAAGAGCGCGTGCGCTGGAGCGTACGGCCTTTCCCGTTCGGGCGGCGTCGGTGAGCGGTCTTGGGGGAGGCGCCATGGCGGTGGTCCGGCCGGAGCCCGGTGGCCGGGTCGGAATGCGGCCGACTCGGGGGTCTGGCGGCGGCGGGCCGAGGTCGGCGGCGGCAGCCTGCCGGCGGGGCGGCCCGGGCGGCCTGGGTGTCCCGTAGGCCGCGGCCGCCACGTGCAGCCCCGGCGCCGAGTCCCCGAGTCCTCGGCGCCCAGTCCCCGCGGGCGCGGACGGCCGGCTCCGCTGGGGCCGTGGCCGCCGCGAGGCCGCTCCGCGGTGAGTAGTGAGCTCGTGGCCGGCGGGCGGGCCGGGGCGCGGATCTCCATGTGTCTTTGGGACCTGTCACTGTGGCAGTCTCCCTTCCTAGCCATGGAAGAGCATTTTCTTGTTTATTGGCAAAGCTGTCACCATCTAATTGGTATCAGATTCTGACTTGCACAAGTAACAGTCTTTACCTGTAAAACCGGGAGGGCGCTGGGTTATCGCGGAGATGTTTCTGTGTTTCCGCTAAGTTGAACTAGTTGCTTCAATGGTGTTGGAGACAAGGTACGTTCCTTTTTATCCTATTTAGTTAGTCTTACCTGCGAGGAAGTGGGAGGCCCAAGCTGGCCGAGCTGCTGGCATTATGTAACTCAAAGCAATAATTAGCCAACTCAGTGGGAGTAGCTGAACTACCTGTGAGTTAGGTACGCAGATCGGGATTTTATTAAGCTGTTCTAACCTTGCAGGGATGAGAAGCCCATGACCGGTGAAGTCTCCTGGAGCTTCCTGCACTGCACAGGATTTCCAAAGCGCCAGCTCCAGGGTGGAGTGAGAAAGGTGATGGGAAAACAAGGTTCTGGAAGCCACAGAGGGAGCATTTTCGGCACAGACCTGAATGTTTTAAGTAGCAATGAGTGTATGCTTATTACAATTAAATAAAGTGCTTGGTTCATCTGCATGTTCTGTGTGCACTGAGCGATTGCTAAGTGGGAAGGTGCTTATAAGTGCTAGTGCTGTCAGAGCATGTGCCAGTGGGAGAGGTGAGCACATGGGGAAGCAGACACAAAAAACCCGGGTTCCAGTCCGTGGTGTGTGGGTGCGCTAAATAGCCCTCTCAGGCAAGGAGAAAGGGGGCCTTGGAGCCAGGTTCGGGGGTTAGCTCGGAACAGCTGCTGCCCATTGCTCCCCTGGATGGAGTCTCAGGGACCCTTAGAGGTGGGGTACAACCTGTGGGGGTGGCATAGATGTGCTCCGTTGGTTAAGTGTGCACTGGTCCTTTGTCCTGAGTGTATTTAGCTCTTGGCAGGTGAACTCCTAGGTGAGAGTATTAATAGAATGTTAATTAGCTTTCCAGGGGTGATCACAGTGGGTAGGTGCCAGGGCAGGGGGTCCTGAGGCAGCCCCATACCATCTGCTTTCCTAGGCCTGGGTGTCATCTAGGGAGGAAAAGGTTAGAGGTCCCAACCTCATGACCAGTGATATACTGGGGCAAGGGGACTTGGTTACCCTGGGGTGCCTGTTTTCCCAGGGTTTTTTTATAGTATATTTTCATTGGGTGCCTGTTGCACCAGGCATCCGGACCTCTGCTCTGGCGAGTACATGACCTGGCGACCTCGCTCTGTTCGTGTAGAGTCCTGCCACACAGATTAAGCAGCTGCACCAGGTGAAAGGCTTGCACTTTATTTACACCTTTGCATCTTAACCAAAGTCACATAGTCAACAAATCTTAAACCAGCCAAAACCGGTTTGGCTCAGTGGATGGAGCTTCGGCTTGCAGACTGAAGGGTCCTGGGTTCGATTCCGGTCAAGGTTGTGGGCACATCCCCCGTAGGGGAGCAAGCAAGAGGCAGCTGATCAATGACTCATCGATGTTTCTAACTCTTATCTCCCTCTCTGTAAAAAATCAATAAAAATATATTTAAAAAAAAATCGTAAACCAAAGAGTTTGACTTGGAGGTTAAAGGAACTTAACACCTCTCCAATCTCAGGCTTTTGGTAATGTTACCTATCGGTACAGCATTACAGTTCTACAATAAGGCAGAGCACCATTAGGTTAGCACCAGTTCTACCAAGCTGCAGATTTGCAAAGAAGGACAATGATGCAGATGGAAGGGACAAGTCCCTTAAAAGCCACCCTTAGGCCTGAAGTGTGCAGAGACTCCTGGGATACCAGGGAAGACCTGGGGTTTAGGGAGGACTCCAGCGTGTCTATTCTGAGTGCCTTTCAGATGGCCAAGACCGCACTACCACCGAGAATGTCCTGACAGGCGGTCCTTAGCACTTGGGGATGAGTCAGAGGGAAACTTCCCTTTGGGCAGAACGTGGGACCACAATGCCACTCAGCTTTGGGGCCCTCTGGAGTTTGGATTCAAGGCCCACAAGCTGCCTCACTTGCTCTCCAGGCCTGTTTTCCTTACTGGCCTTTTGTAAGCAGTGCGGTGCCCACCGGTGGGTGCATTGCACAGGATAAGCAGTTCTTTAGGGCTCCCCACACCGCAGGGGAAGCGTTTTAATGGGTCGTTAAACGGGACCATGGCTGGCCTCAGGATATCTGAAGGCAGCAGATGGCCCTCTTCAATCGCGGTGCAGGAGACAAGCATAATGCTAAGGAACAAACATTGCCCAGCTGAGTGACATGGTTGAAAGTAACCAGAGTAGAGATGCTAACAGATCAGGTGGATAAATTACACTGTGCATTCAACAAATTGAAGACGTGTGTTTGCGAGAATTCCACATGTTCCTAGCCACATACAAGGTGGTTAGAATGCTTCAGTGATAGCCATGTGCCTGGTGCAGAGGCCTCGTTCGTGAACGTGCTGTGACAGCCTACTGCGGTCTATCTAGTGCGGTCCCTCCGCTCGGCCCTCACCACACCTGACAGGCCAGAGACCAGCCTCTGGGAGCAGAACCGAGCTGAAACTTATGATGTAAACAGGAAACAATGGCACTCTTACTCCAGTGAGGTAATGAGTATTTTTCCCTCAAACGTGGGCACGTAATATGAATCCATAGATCACTGACTCAGTTATAAGTTCTCCAAAAAAGGGTAAAAACATTATTGCACAGTCATTATATACAATGATATCCAGAGGATGATGAGAAATAGAGTTAAATAAGGTTCAAATGGGAACAAAGTTAGTCTCCAGGGAAACTAACATGGGAGGCAACAATGCCATGAAGGGCAGTCGGCACCACACGGAGGCACCTACAAGTCCACACCACAGGTCTCTGCAGTGGAGGGGCCACGGTCCTGTCCCACCCGCTCACGGGCCTCATCCCCATGGCGGCATCGCTGGCTGAGGACCAACGCTGAGGCTGAAAGTTCCCAACGCACTTTTAAGTACTGTTTCCTTGCGGGTTCCACCAATTACAGTTTGGTGACACTTTTGATCCAAGGTACAAAGGCTGACACTTTGGTGTAAACGCCGGGTGAGCCCTTGGCTCCACAGCCGTGCCCCCAGGAGGTCACCCCGTACACGGCCCAGCCGGCTCCCGGCCGCTCGCACACCAGGGGCCCCCCGCTGTCGCCCTGGCAGCTGTCCACCCGGCTGTGTGCACGCAGGCTCCCGGCACAGAGCATCCTCCTGGTGAAGCGGCCCTGGTAGCGTTCCGCACACCGCCTCCGGGGCAGCAGGGGCACGGCGGCCTGCTGCAGGGTCCGGGCGTAGGCGCTGCCTGCAAACCAAACGTCCGTCAGCTTCCCGCCGCGGTCCTGTGGGAAGGGCCGCACTGGCAGCTGCAGGAACATGAACCGTCTTTCCAATAAAAGCTCTGCTGGGACGCTAGTGCGGTTTACACGGCACAGGTGCCACCGCCTGCCTTTCGCCATGTTGGCACTCGGCACCTTCTTACCCTCCACTGACCTGCTTCTCCGCACTGAATGTGGCAGACGAACCAGTGAAAGAGCAGAGCAAGGCTATCAGCAGAACCTCCCTTTGTTGAAGAGCCAGCCCCATGTGCACTTAGTGCTGATCTCGATGCTGGCCTTGTGCGCCACCCTTGACCAGTCAGGAGGTAGCAGGGCATACCCGAGTTTCCCCGAAAATAAGACACCCTCCGAAAATAAGACCTAGCGCATGGAAAGATAAGACATCCCCTGAAAATAAGACTTAGTGCAACTTTGGGGAAAGAAATTAATATAAGACACTGTCTTATTTTCGGGGAAACGGCATAGCTCAGACCCAGGAATGCGATAGTCATTTCCTGTCCTTTGTGCTGTAAGTCCCAGCTGTAAAACCATGGAATAAAACCCTGACCTGCAACTGACCAATTGGGGTCAGCCAACTCAGGTCCGACCCTCCCCCGACCCAGACTCCATAAAACCCTTTGTCCTGTGGAAGCTCGCTCTCTCCCCACCTCGCCGCTGCACCTGTGTATGTGGGACTGAGCTCGGGCTAACTCGAATAAAGGCTCTGTGCTTTTGCATTGGACTGGGCTCCCTGGTGGTCTTTGGGGATCACAAAATCTGGGCATCACACTAGCAGCATTACAGACAGCCCCACAGAAAGGTATGCAGGCGTCGGCATCTGAACTCCACACAGGAAAGGGGAGGGATGCTTAGGCTGACGTGGGTGAGCACGTCCACTCCTCTAAGATCCCTCTGCCTCCCTGACGCGAGGACTGATTACAAGTGACAATTACCGTCAGCACGTAGTGACAGTAACTGTCCTAAACAGAAGCCCTATCTTCATACACATGTACGATGGGCTTTAGCTCCACACCCAGATTGTGAGTCCAAGTTCATGACCTCACCTGAATCCACTAAGATTTTACAACCGACCGTCGAGCCGCCATGGACTGGATGACCCGCCCGCCTCCCCACCGTCACTCCGTTACCTGTGTCTCCCCAGCCTGTGATGTGGCAGTTGGAGGCTGTCTTCTGGGGCCTCTCCCTCCAGAGCGGCAGGCAGGCGGGCAGCACGTGGCTGCTGAGCCTGGCGCACTGCCCGTCCGGGCCCTGCAGCCTGACCAGGGCGATGTCGTGGTCACTGCTGTCCGGCCGGTAGGCCCCGTGAATGACAATCTGCTGGACTCCGATTTCCTCCTCAAACTCCTCGGGCACCAGCGTGTGGTAGTCCCCCACCCGGACGGCGTAGCTCCGCGTGCTGTTCCCGTACCTGAGACGCAGGAGCTGGTCAGCCTTTCCGATGCTGAAAGGTGGTCGTGGCCCGAGTGACGGCCCCCAGAGCTACCACAAGCCCATATCCCAGGTCATCCGCCCCCTAAACTCCCCCTTTCCTTCCACTGCTCTGCCCCCACCGCTGCGGGATGCAGTCATCCTTCAACCCCACCATAGCTCAGTCCCTGGACCCTGACCTCCCTCTCCCAGGCTGCATCCCATAGTCTCGCTGTCCTTTTATCTGACAATCCCCAGCTCCGGCTTCACGGGCACCACTTCCTAGGCTGCAGGGATGGGGAATGACATGGAGCAGCCCTCATCCTAACTTTTCCCCAGAACGTCCACTGGGAACCAGGCCTTCCTTGGGTGTGAATGTAGAGAAGTTGGCATTCTCCAGGGTCTGTCCACCCATAGAGCACAACCTCCCCCTTGCTCCTGTCCATTCCCGGAAGCTAGACGCGCCAAACACAGCCAGGCTGTGCAGGCCCTGACAACGCCGTGGTGTGTACAGTGATTTAACTGTCTGGCTCAAGACACCCAACGACGCTACAGAGATGATGTCGCCATCAGCCACCTGCCACAGACCTGGAATACCGTTTCCTGTGCTTCCCTGGGGGTCTCCATCTCAACTTAACTCATCCGTCTTTAACCCAGAGTCCTTTTACATGCGTGCCCACAGAATGTCACCTGCTGGCTCCGCTTCCAAATGGAAGCAACATTTAGGATTATTTCAGGTCCCGAGACTAAAAACCAATAGTGGCCAATAGTCAGATATTTAAATAATTCTCAACTAACTCCACTTTCTGTATATTGATATTACTATTTTAAAGATTTAATATGCCTAATTAATGTCTTCAGGTTTTAAAGTAATACTCCAAGTGATTTATTACTTTTCAAACAAGAAAAACTGTGCACCCTTGAAAGTATTGCTGAAATGTTTAGTGTATCTTTGAAATAGAATTTAAAAACCATCTCGAGCAACACTGGCCAGTACAGTAGCCAGAGGCCACCTGTGCCTGTTGAGTGGTAGCCAGGGGCCACCTGTGCCTGTTGAGTGGTAGCCAGGGGCCACCTGTGCCTGCTGAGTGGTAGCCAGGGGCCACCTGTGCCTGCTGAGTGGTAGCCAGGGGCCACCTGCGCCTGCTGAATGGTAGCCAGGAGCCACCTGTGCCTGCTGAGTGTGGTAGCCAGGGGCCACCTGTGCCTGCTGAGTGTGGTAGCCAGGGGCCACCTGTGCCTGCTGAGTGTGGTAGCCAGGGGCCACCTGTGCCTGCTGAGTGTGGTAGCCAGGGGCCACCTGTGCCTGCTGACTGGTAGCCAGGGGCCACCTGTGCCTGCTGAGTGGTAGCCAGGGGCCACCTGTGCCTGCTGAGTGTGGTAGCCAGGGGCCACCTGTGCCTGCTGAGTGTGGTAGCCAGGGGCCACCTGTGCCTGTTGAGTGTGGTAACCAGGGGCCACCTGTGCCTGCTGAGTGTGGTAGCCAGGGGCCACCTGTGCCTGCTGAGTGGTAGCCAGGGGCTACCTGTGCCTGTTGAGTGCGGTAGCCAGTGGCCACCTGTGCCTGTTGAGTGGTAGCTAGAGGCCACCTGTGCCTGTTGAGTGCGGTAGCCAGTGGCCACCTGTGCCTGTTGAGTGCGGTAGCCAGGGGCCACCTGTGCCTGTTGAGTGTGGTAGCCAGGGGCCACCTGTGCCTGCTGAGTGGTAGCCAGTGGCCACCTGTGCCTGCTGAGTGGAAGCCAGGGGCCACCTGTGCCAGCTGAGTGGTAGCCAGGGGCCACCTGTCCCCCGCCTTCCTAACCAGATAACCAGATAACCAGGGTTCTTTGCTAGCTCTCGGCACCATGTCACCCTCTGGTGTGCTCTCAGCAAGCGCTACAGTAGCTGCCTCCCTGAACACCACCTTCTGTTCCCCTAAGGCCAGTCCAGGCTTTCTCCAACACCGGGCGGCGAGCTCCCTGCTGGCCCTCCCTCCCAGGGAGCCCAGGGCCGCACAGACCTGGCCCTGTGGGTGCTGGGAGGAAGGCGGGAAGGGACTGGTGGGGGGCGGTGCTGGGAGGAAGGCAGGAAGGGACTAGGGGAGGCTGTCGGAGTGGACGGAGTGGACGTACCTCTTGAAGCAGTGCGCGGCCGTCAGCACCCAGCAGCTGCTCAGCAGCGTGGCCCCGCAGAGGAGCCTGCCGTCCCCGCGGGGGGACCGGAGGCGCAGCGCCACCTGCCATGGCCAGCCGCCCCTGGAAGACAGCAGGCGGCCCATCAGGCCCAGGAGAGGGCAGGCTCGGGGGCATCAGAGGGCCCGGGTGAAAGACCCCCTGCCGTGCACAGCCCGGCCTGGGCAGCCAGTCCAGAAACCAGCCCTCCCCCGTGCCGCCCTCCTCACGCCCTCCCCAGCAGCCTGCAGAGCATTCGCTGGGCAAGCGCTGGTGTCCACAGGGAGTGCAGCAGCGAAGCAACTGTGAGAGGAGCCAAGCCCACGGGACCGATGCACACTCAGTGCGCTCCGGGCCGCGCTGGCTCCGACCTCCGGACATGGTTTCTGCCCCGCGCTCAGCAGCTGGGAATCGGACAGCGGCTGAGAGCACACGGGCCGGGCGCGCGCAGGAGGCCGGGCACGCGGTGGGGCCGGGGGCGCGCAGTGGGGCCGGGCGCGCGCAGGGGGCCGGGGGCGCGCAGTGGGGCCGGGCGCGCGCAGGGGGTCGGGGGCGCGCAGGGGGCCCTGGGCGCGCGGTGGGCCCGGGTTTGGTTGGAGAACAACACGAGTAAACCTCTCCCCGTTTGCACCGTCACCCGGTGCCTCTGACCTGGGTCCCTGGGAACCGTTACCTAAGCGAGTTCTTCCCGCCGACGATGCGCTTCTGCCGCCGGAGCATCGGCCGGAGCCCACAGCCGGGCGGGACAGGCGCTGGGCAGAAACGTAGGAATTACTCCCGATCGGGGCGGGAAACAGCCACACAGACCCCGCCGCTCCTGCTCCGACTCAAGTGCCAACTCCTCAGAGGACTGGCTGCCTTCCTGGCAGGAGCCGCAGCTGCCTTCTCACGCCCAGGGCAACGCCACTCACGGCAGAGCAGGCCCTGGGGGTCCCGGTTCCGGATCTGACCCATCAGAACCCATGCCGCCTCCTCTGCTGGGAGAGGCTGTTTGGGCGCCGGAACATTAGCCAAAGGCCCGTGGTCCAGCCCCTCTGTGCACACAGCCTCTGCCAGCCCCGTGCCAGGCACCTGGGGGCAGCCGGCCCACGGGTACCCCGACTCCCATATCAGCACGCACAGGGCTCACTGTGCCCCTCGGTGGCAAACTGCACTCATTTATTCGTTTATTTCATTTTTTAGAGTCTTTTGGTAAAAACCGGAAGACCTGCTAGACAAATTCGAGAAGAGCTGTAAGCACTTTTTAAATAATTTAAAAAAAAATGTTTTCATTTATTTCAGAGAGGAAGGAAGAGACTGAGAGAGAGAAACATCAATGATGAGAATCATGGACCAGCTGCCTCTGCACGCCCCCTACTGGGGACTGAGCCCGAAATCCAGGCATGTGCCCTGACTGGGAATAGAATCTTGACCTCCTGTTCATAGGTCGACGCCCAACCACTGAGCCACTCTGGCTGGGTCAGCAAACTGTATTTAATCCCCTTTCCAAGGTAACAAATTGTACAGCAAGAGCATAAACAAAGAGCCAGGTTAAAAATATATGGTGAGGTGTGCAGAAGCAGATGCAATCTAAGGTATGGCTGATTTTCTGATGTTTCAGGAGAACTGACAGGTGAGCTCTGCTCTTTGGGGAGGAACATGTGTGTAAAGGAGAGGGTGAGGACACAGAGACTTCAGCACCAATGGTTGCCTTGGTAACCAGTAGAGGGTGAGTCAGCAGGAATCAGCACTAGCATGTCCTATGGCGGAGGTGCCGCAAGGTCCCCCAGAGAACTGAGTGCCACAGGAGCTCATGCTCAGGCTGGGTCCTCACCTCAGGGGCCGGGCCTCTCACTGGCACTGCCAGCTCACATGTGGGGGGAGAACATACATTTGCCGGGACCCTCCGGCCAGGCCAGCGGGATGCTGCCCAGCAGGGATGAGGTAATTCCGAGCCAGCGGGGCTGGCGTTGGCCTTATTCTGAGCAGAGCACCAGCTTGCAAGGAAGGAACATCTACCGAAGGCCACCAAGCCCGCTGCTACAATGACTGAAAGGCTAAATGCAGCTCATTTATGAAAGGACCCCTCCGATGCTCCAGTCTGAGTCGCCCTCTCAGTCGGTCACTAGGTCTCGAGCCTCAACACAGAAGCAGCAGGTGAGTGTGCCGGACTCGGCAGTCTGGGGGGTCGGCGAAGGAATGTCTTTATCTGAAGTACAGTAGCACTGGAACCATGGAAATGTATCAAAATAGACATTGCTACAACTCCAGGAAGGCCTGTCCTGGCTGGTTTGGCTCAGTAGATAAAGCATCAGCCCATGGACCGAAGGGCCCAGGTTCAATTCTAGTCAAGAGCATGTACCTGGCTCGCAGGATCAATCCTGGCCCCAGGTCTGGGCACGTGTGGGAGGCAACCAATCAATGTGTCTCTCTCACCTCTCTCTCTCTCTCTCTCTCTCTCTCTCTCGCTCGCTCGCTTGCTCTTCCTTCTACTCTCTCTAAAAATCAATGGGAAAATATCCTTGGGTGAGGATTAACTCTAAGGCATCAGAACAAATGCATAAATTGTGGAGAAATAAATCTATGTTATACTTTAAAATAGGTTTACATGGGAATATAGTAAATGTTGTAAAACATTTTACAATTGCTGTTTTTTTGTGTGTTTTCCTTTTGCTTAAGGAATAATTGAAAGAATGTTCTACTAGTTACATTCCACTTGTAACTGGAGGTTGAACTGCTGAAGGGAATTTAATAAAGTACGTTATAGCCAACACTGAGGAAGAACTGGCTTGCCAACTCCTGTTTGTCATGCATATGAACACGTGTCTCCGAGCACAAAAGGTTGTAAAGGTCTCTCCCTACACTCCAAAGCCCCTCAGACAGTGAAGAACCAGCTGAAGGAGACCCTGCTTATGGACCGCCTGCTCCTGGCAGCGGGAGACAGTGGTAGAGAAGGACCGGTGCCGAGGCCCCTGCTGCCGGAAAGCCAGCACGCCAGCGCTGTGGCCTCAGCCCTGTGAGCAGAGGCCGTGGCCCTTCACACAGAGGCCCGTCTTCTCCGAACAGCGATGGGCCCCTCTCGCCCCCCGCCCCTGCCCCCGCCCCCGCCCGCAGCGGCTGCCATTCGCAGGGTGGCTCCCGTTTCGGACAGCGGCAGCTAACTGGTTAGCGCGTACTTGTTTCATAAAAATTACACTTGAAGCTTTCAACAACTCTTCTATTTAAGCACAACACATCAGGGGCTGTCTCCTATGAAAAGGTTCTTTCTCCTTTTCCTGATATTTTTAATTTCAAAAGGTAAAATCTATAAAAAAGGATTTCTTCTATTTAAAAGATGATTCCTGTTGTTTTAACTCTCAGGCTGAGCAGCAGTGCCCTCTGGCATTTGTCCTCGCACTTTCATTTCTTCTTATGAAGTAAACGTCAGCTCGGGCTTTCAGGACACCGACCCCCCATCCCCACCCCACCCCCACCCCACCCCCACGGTGACGCCCGCAGAGCGAGGGCAGGAGCCCTCCCACGGCATGGCGGCGGGCCTCCTGGGCTGGGCTGGCTGTGGGTCCGCTTCCCGTCGGAGCCAGAGGGGACTTACCTGTATCCCCGGTCCCTGGCGCCTTCCTGCCGAGATAATCACAGATGACGCCGGCGTCCTCGCTGTGGCGACAGTTGTGCCTCCCCACCTCCTGCTTGAGGCAGTCGGCCAAGGCCCGCTCGCTGCCCGTGCACGCCACGTTGTCCATGTGGATGGGCCCCCGGCCTTCCCCGAAGTACGCCATGGCCCGCGCCCGGGCGGGGCCCCTGCGAGAGAGCACCAGGCTGAGGGCGCCACCGGCTCCGGCTCCGGCTCCGGGGCCGAGCAGGTGCCTTCCTGAGGCTCCGCAGGCACGCTGGCCTGGCAGGGCCTTGGGAAGCAGCTGTGCTTCTGCCGAGTGGGGCTGCAATGGAAGGAACTGAAGGAAGAGCTTTTTTCCCTCTGCCTCTGCCTCTGCCTCTGCCTCTGCCTCTGCCTTTCCCTCTGCCTCTCCCTCTCCCTCTCCCTTCTCTCTTTCTTCTTCTCCCTCCCTCTCTCCCTCTCCCTCTCCCTTCTCTCTTTCTTCTTCTCCCTCCCTCTCACCCTCTCCCTCACCTACCTCTCTCTCCTCTCTCTCCTCTCTCTCTCCTCTCTCTCTTCTCTCTCCCTCTCCCTCTCCCTCCCTCTCACCCTCTCTCTCACCTCACCTCTCTCTCTCTCCTCTGTCTCTGTCTGTGTCTCTCTCTCTCTCTCTCTCTCTCTCTCTCTCTCTCTCTCTCTCTCTCAGAGTTCCCCAGGGGTCAGCTTCCCTTCCCTCCCTGAGTGACCATCCCCGTCACTGCCTGCCGCTGTGTGAGGCTTTCTCCTTCCTCGCTGACCAAGCGCCAAGGCCTGAAGCCACTCCTCCGTCTTCACAGCTCAGCGACGCCCCTGGGCCACGCATTAGTTGACCTTTGGGGGCTTTTAAAATGCAGCAAAGCCTATAGCCATGCCCGGTGCCGGGCTTGGTTACAAAGCAGATGACTGTTTTACCGCTAGGCTGTTCGCCTGAAACTAACACAAAACAATACTGAATGCAACTGTGATTGAAAAAAATTAAAATTTAGCAAAACCTGAGCCCCACCTGACCGCATTAAAGGAGAATCGTGGATGGGGCCGGGTCTGGGCAGGTCTATGTCCCCCGACGAAGGGGACGACCGAGGCAAGGCCGCTGCTGCCCGAGGTGCCGCTGGCGCTGTGCCTGTGCCCGCGCCTGTGCCCGAGGCCCAAGGCTTTCATCTCAGCTGAATCCGGAAATCAGCCCCCCTGCTCCTCACACGGAAACAGATTTTAGGAGGAGAGCTTTAATGCAGGTTCCTTTCTAATCAGTCTTCCCATCAGGGCTGCGGTGTGTGAGGTGTTCTACCTTCAGAAAAGACCTTGTTTTTTCACGTCCGTCTCAATTATTGCCAAGTGTAGTCCTAGATTTTTGTTTTTGTGCCTTCTATAAAGGAGATTTTTAAATTTTTATTTTCTGCCTAGCATATGGGAACATTAATGCTTTTGAAAACATTTATAATTTATATTAACAAACACTAGGTCTAGTGTCTTTCCAGTTGATTCTCTTTGGTTTTCTAGGCAGACAATCATTCTATATAAGTCTAATATACTAAGTGTCCAGGATTGGGTCGTCCATTCAACTAATCAAAGTGTAATATGCTAATGATAAGCTAAGGTCACTCAACCGCGTGCTATGATGTGCACTGACCACCGAGGGAAGACAGTCGACCACCAGTATGACATACACTGACACCAAAAGACAGGTGCTCTGACCAGTAGGTGAGCTTGCTGCTGGCATCCATTTGGGACTGGCGAGAGAGGCTGGAAATGCCCTGGATTCCTCCCACAATCCCTCCCCACATCCTTCCCCAGTCCCGATCATGCACCGGTGGGGACCCTCAGCCTGGCCTGCACCCTCTCACAATCCAGGACCCTCTTGGGGGATGTCGGAAAGCCAGTTTCAGCCCAACCCTACAGGCCAGGCTGAGGGACCCTGCTGGTGCACGAATTTGTGCACTGGGCCTCTAATATCCAATATAATAAAAGGGTAAAATGCAGATAGAACCAATGGCAGAACAACCAACCAACCAGTCAGAGCATAATAAGCTAATGATATGCTAAGGCTGCCCAACTGCTTACTATGACATGCACTGACCACCAAGGAGCAAAGAATCAACTGATCAATCAGTCA